CCCCCCCGCCATCTCTGGGTTGAATCTATTTCTTTTCCGGTCCATCGGTTACTGTCAAGGCTGAGGAGTTTCCAAGAGGAAGAGAAGCAAACCATATATGTTCGCCCTACGTACGTGTGATTGGGACTTACCTGGAACACTGGTTTTCACAAGTCAAAGTGACCACATGCGGGGACTCTCATATGTGGGCGGAGGGCTGTGGAGAACAGTTTGGCACTTCCACCCAGCAGGGTACCTTAGCTTGTCAGGTGATTGTAGTTGCCGTTGAATGCGGTTGAGTTGATTCCCACTGACAGTGACCTTATATCGACAAGGAGGCCTGTCCCGCAGGGTCCCTAGGCTCTCCTACAGAGAAGCTGGTGTGTTTGAGCCACCCACCTGACGATTCCACACCACAGCGGACGTGTCCACAGATGCTTATCGCAGCATTGTTTTAATAGCCAAAGGAGGAAGCAGCCCACATGTGCATCAACTGATGGATGCCTAGGCAAAACATCTCCATGCAATAGCATACGATTTGGTCCTAAAAAGAGATCAAGTACTGGCGCCTGCTAGAACATGGATGAACCTCGGAAACATGCTGAAGGAAAGAATGGACACAGAAGGCCGCTCACGGTATACCTGGTCACACCTGACGTGTCCACAACCGTCCAGCCAGAGACAGGGAGCTAGATTGGTGGCACCGGGAGATGGGGGAAGTGCAGAGGTTCGAGTTTGCTGGTAAACCAGGTACTGCGGGGTTTCTTTCAACTTTTCATTGTGAGTTGGGTGAAGGCTGCAGAACGAATCAGTTTTCCATTCAGTGATCCGTACACCCTTTGTTTCCTGTCATGGATTTCAGTCTACACAGTGTAGCACCATTTATCTCACTTGGGAGGGACTGGCCCCACCATCGAATGGGTCCAGGGGCAGTTGTGTAATTGAGGAGTAAAATTAAAGAGACATCAGACAAGATAAAGCATGCAAGTGCTCACCTCCGGGACCCCCATGACTTCAGGAGCCAGGTCCATGCAAAGGGAGAGAATATATTGCCAAGCAAGGCTTATAACACTCTGTGGGTGTGTAAGGCCCCCTAATTACAGGTACCCACCTATGTAACAGGAAGAGGCACACCTGTGACAGGAAGGCATACACGGAACAAGATAGGCGGGCTCTAGAGTCAAGGTGGCAGTCTAACCTCTGTGGTCCCGGAGTTGGCTTGACCTTAGGTATCTTTGGGCTCTCCCTCAGGGGAGCAATTCATTATCCTTATCAGAAGGGAGTGGGACCTACCTAGGGTGGGATAGACAATGGGCCTGCTTGCCTTAGATGGCCGACAATCTTCAGGCAGGTAACCTTCAAGCAGTTGACCTCCAAGTGCAAAGTCAGTGACCATGTGTTTGCAGACAGCACCTTAGGTTTGGCATTATTATGGGGGAGCATCGCGGGGAATAACTTTTCCTTAGGAGAATGTGAGTGGGACGTATCTCCAACCCAGGAATGGGAAGGTTTCCTCTGCGGGAGCCCTGGCCTCCCAGACCCCTCAATGGATGAAGGGTGAGAGTTTGCCCAAATACCCTCTCCTCCCGGTTCTGTTTCCCCCACACTCACTCTTTCTCTCTCTCTCTTCCTCCTCCTTTCCTAACCATCTGCCTGCTGACCTTGTGTCCTTGGGCAAGTGCTGCCTTGCTAAAATATCAGTGGGATTTTAACAATCCCAGGATTGTTCCAAGGTGTGCGTGCCAGAGGAATGACTCACCTTTTAGCTTTGTTCATCAGTGTGCTGAGGACTGAGCCACCAGGGTGAGTTCCGTTCGAGGCTGAAGGGTGACTAAGGGCCTGCAAGGTTCGGTGCGTCTCTATCCCACCAGAAAGCCTGGTCCTTTTTATGAACATGCCTTCTGTTCCCCATCTTTCTCCCGCTCTGTCCCACATCTTCTCATGTGATCCCGTTCAGCAGTTGGTAGTGGCCGCTGGGCACCATCCAGTTCCTTTGGTCTCGGGGTGGTGGAAGCTGGGATTCGCAAGGTTTATTAATCCCTTGGATTAATTTTTCACTGGTATCTCTAATTGTCTTCACTCGTCTGCGCCCAGGACCAGAAGAGAGTGACAGCTGTAGGTGAGGTGGCCACTCGCAAGCTTTTCAAGACGGCCATCATGAAAGGCATTCCCCTGGGCAATAACGGGTGTCCACCACACTGTGTGTCTAGGAGAAACCACTGACCTGTGCACTATGAAGTGGTTAGACTGCTGGGAGGGAAACTGGCCATGTCCTTGAAAGCGAATCTGCCTCCCGGATGTCTCTTGCTCGCCCTGACTTCGCTCTGACTTCCCTTCTGCACACCAGCCATCCCAGCAGTGCCGTGTGTCTGTCTGGGCCCTGGCTTGTCTTGCTGCCTACATCTGTGGTCCAGCACATCTGGTTTTTCTCCGGCAAATCATGGCTTTTGAGTCTGTTGAGTCGTGTAGTCAGCCGGCACACATGCATGAGGTTCCAACCCAAAGGAAAGAAAATCTGACTCACAGCGACTCTCTGGGGCAGAGGACCACTGCCCCCACCCCCCCCACCCCCCCCAGGGAAGCCGCCTGCCTCATCTGTTTCTTGCAGACCGCAGGCCTTTGGTAGCAGCAAAGCGCATGACGCCTTAGTGGGCACCTCCTCCTTGCTCAGGGGTGTGAGGGACCCTGGGGAGTGCACCCCAGGGCAGTCTCTCCACACGCCTCTTCTGCCCCTGCCGCTCTCCTGCCACTCGGCCCGGACTTGTAGTGAGCTTTGCCTGCGGACCTGGGTCAGGAGGGGACACAAGCTGCCTCCCTGGGGCCCATAGCTCCTGTCACTCGGCCCTGCTCTCGGAGGGTAGAATGTTCGTGGTCCATTTCACCGTTTCTTCCCTGTACTCGTGGTCTCTCTCTCTCTCTTTCTCTCTCTCTCTCTCTCTCTCTCACACACACACACACACTCACACACACACTCTCTCACACACACACACACACTCTCTCACACACACTCTCTCACATACACATACACTCTCTCACACACACATACACTCTCACACACACACGCACTCTCTCTCACACACACACTCTCTCACACACACACACACACACACACACACGCACACACTCACACACACACACTCTCACACACACATACACTCTCTCACACACACACATACACTCTCTCACACACACATATGCACGCGCACACACTCACACACACAAACTCTCTCACACACACTCTCTCTCACATACACTCTCTCACACACACACACTCTCTCTC